ACTAAATTTGTGTAAAATAATAAAATGCTATTATATTAACAAACGAGAAATAGAAGGAGCACATATTGCCCTCCTATATTTTATGTTATTGGTATCATAGCATTGTGTGCACAGAGTCGCAATATGTGCTCCTCCTATTTCTCGTTTGTTAATATAATAGCATTTTATTATTTTACACAAATTTAGTGTTCAATCAATTTTACATCATAATTAAAGTTTCCTGTTTTTCCTGGTTTGGTATGTATAATTTCCTCCTTTTATATATTTATATTTATCATCATCTGTGTATTTATGTTAAATGTTTTTTTAGATTACTGAATGATGACACACATCAAGTGTCGAAACGTTTAATGGAATAAATAATTTTGTTATTTAATCTTTTTTTAATTCGACGGTTGGGCTGCAAAATTATTACAAATATGTATCAACGTCGACAAAACTATCATCATATATATATATATACATATAATCTTGATAAATATTAATTTTACTACAATTTCTATGAAACGGTTAATAATATAATTTGGCTTTAATAGAGTAGGAGCTACACGATAAAAATAAGACACTTTTGAGAAACAAATCTCACACGTCATATACACTTCGAAAAGCCACAACCTTTTATCAGAAATCAAAATTTGGAATACAAATTGTAAATCGAAAGGGATTTTTAGTGATATACTAGAAACCAGTAATTAAATCAATTCTTGACTTTGAGACAACACCAGAAAAATTGCAATATAAAAAGGAATCAATCTTTCATGGTATACCAGAGCTAACATTAGTCAAATCAGTATATAATTTATTTATTTGATGATTGAACTTTGAGAAGAACTTATGGCATCCTTTCACTAAGTCCTTATAACAATATTAAATATAATATAATATAATATAATATTTATTTATATAAAATAAGCTAAAATCTATCTATTGCAATGATGACTCTCTTTCTCTAATATTTATATAGTTATATTTATATTTATAGACAAAAAGGCATATAAATTCTTAATTTAAACATATTTAATATGATAGAATAGTTAGAAGTTTTTTTTGAGTATTATTTTTTTTAGGAATTCATTCTTAAAGTTATGACTTTATTTTAATAATAGCATTTAGATAACTTATTCCCTAGGGACAGGTCTTTTTTTATCATATTATAAATTAAGAATAAATTTGTAAAATTTATATATATATATATATATATATATATATATATTTTTATTATATACATATATCTATATTATTGCATTGATGTAAATTACCAATAATACATAAATATATATATATATATATATATATATATATATATATATATATATATTATATATATGGGAATAAAAAATCTTATAAACATTTCATGTATGCTTAACTATAATATAATTTTTATGAACAATATACAAAAATCTATCTATCATCATTATAAATCTATTATTATTTATACAAGTTGGCTTTACTGAATTCCATTAGTGAGATACTGAAAACTATCATACAACTTAGTCGATATGAGTGCATGCTGGACTCGACAAGATGCTCCACCATTCACAAAGTTGATCCTCTGTCAGAGACAAATGGAAACGATTTTG